ATAGTATGAGTGTACTCCAAATGGAAGTCTTGCAGTCATACGGATTTTTCTTTGAGTTGTTGTCTTCGTTAAGAGGTTAATTCTATGAGAATGGAGTTAAAATGAAACTGAACATGTGCACAAATCAGGCAGAATCACATTTGCTAGTGTTTATATGACAGGCCCAACCGATATTCAGCTCTATTCAAGTCAATCAGATAGAAACAGTATAACAAGACTAGACAGAGTAGATGCAGGGAGGATGTTCCCGGTGGTGGGTGGGTCCAGAATCGTGGTCACAGTATGAGGATTCAGGGTAGACCATTTAGGAAGGAGATGAGGAGACATTTCTGCACCCAAAGACTGGTGAGCCTGTGGAATTCATTACCACAGGAAGTGGTTGATGCTAAAACTTTGAGTGTATTCAAGAGGCGGCTACATATAGCACTTGCGGTGAATGGAATTTAGAAGAATGAGAGGTGATCAAGGGCCTGACAGGGTAAATGCTGAGAGAATTTTTCCTTTCGAGCGAGAGTCTAAGACCAGAGGGCATAGTCTCAGAATATAGGGGTATGCCAAGTTAGGCCTGAAATGAGGAGGAATTTTTTTCTCTCAGAGGGTTGACGGTTTTTGGAACTCCTTGCCACAGAGATCTGTGGGGTCAGAGTCCAAGTGTATATTTAAGGCTGAGATAGATACTTGTTCAGTTGGGGAATCAAGGGTTACTGGACAATGCAGGAAAGTGTTTGTGAGGGATGTAGGATAAGCCATGATCCTATTGAATGGCACAGCAGGTTGAGGGCCCGAGGCCTACTCCTGTTCTTATTTCTTTTGGTCTTGTGGTCTTATGGAACAGTTAAATGCAGTCACGCAAATGGAATACTCAATAAGACATTAAGAATAAATTATTTAAAAGTCATGCTGCTAAGGTTTTATGAAGTAGGGTGGAATGAGGCTTTTGTGGAGCATGAAAATTGGTAAACACCAGTCAGCCTAAATGGTCTGTTTCTATGCTCTAAATTGCATGTAATTCTACGTAATAAAATAGCACCATATTTGTCCATTCATTGAACAATAGGATAGTAATTATAGGAAACTAGTTTTAGAAACACATAATATGAAATTAACTTCAATATCAACAGAATAATTTACTCGTAACATAGCCCAAAGCGTAATCATAATTATATAAACAATAATCAAGTGGTGAAAACTGTTATAAAAAGGAGCATATGCAGACTGGACTGTTAAAAATAGCTGTGTGTGGCATGAGAGTCAGGTTATATTTCAGGCAGTTTGTGTTATTCTAAATAATTATACTGTTTTTAGAAGTTTGCTGTAGATTGTGATGTCTTGACATGACCTTAAAATATATTTTTTTACTGTTGTTAAATATTATGACAATCAAAGTATTTCTTTTTAATAAAGAATGCCTGCCTTGACCCGTGGTTATACTTGATTGATACCCTAAAGCAAATAAGAAGTTTTCTTCATCAGATGAGGTTATAAATGATGACAAAGCAATTGGCAGAGTGGTGGTATCCCTGCCTCTGGGCCAGAACATCTGGGTTCCATCTTCCTGGGAAATGCCTCATGATGTGTCTAAACTGGTTGATTTGGAATACTTAGAACCATTTTAGTTTCAATATCTTGCCTTAGATTTAGCAGTTTCTTAAAAAAAAAACTAGATTCTATCATTGCACTGACCATTTCACAAGCATCAGAAAATTGAAATAAGGCAACATGAGCTAAATCCATCAGACTAAATCTTATAAGTGAACAAACCAGATGTGATGACACTATTATCCAGCTACATTGTTACATGTGTTATTATGTAATATCAAACAAATTTACAGGCTACATGATAAACCAAAAAAAACCATTTATAAAACATAGTTGAATTGCATAAAATAGTAAACAAATAAAAAAACTTGAAAGTACACTAATTTAGTATTTGATAATAAGAAAACACATTTGTTGAAACTTTTAGTTTTGAACTGATCAGAAAAATTCAACAACTTACCAAAGTAAAGGGAAAATAACATTTATACTGTATGAAATGATGGTGAAGATTGATTGGGAAGTTGATTCTAATTGTTGTCAGGGAAAATGCAACAGTTGATGATGACTGAAAATTAACAGCCAAACTGTGCTTAAGTTTTAAACCAGGTATATTAACGCTGATTATTCAAGGCACTATCTTGAGAAATGAGAGAATGGTTGTCAATTACTTGAAACGGGGCCCATTGTACATTCATATTCTTTCTGTCTGCAAAGAACAAAGCCTGTGTGTCATGCAATATAAATGTTACTTTATCTTTACTTTTTGTAATTCATGTGAATTGTCCTGATGAGTGCAAGAGAAAAAGTTGTAAAAGAGTATGCCTTCTTTCAGCAATACTCAAAACTTAATTGATTAGAAGTTAAATTCCAGACTAAGCAAAACTAACACTGTCATAATGCTACAAATAATACAGATCTTGAACAATCTTTCGTCACATACAAACATAGAAGATAGGAGCAAGAGGAGGCCATTTGAGCCTATTCCACCATTTATCACGATCATGGCTGATCATCCAACTCAATCACTTAATCCTGCTTTCTCCCCGTAACCTTTGATCCCATTCACCCCAAGTGCTATATCTAGCCGCCTCTTGAATACACTCAAAGTTTTAGCATCAACTACTTCTTGTGGTAATGAATTCCTCAGACTCACCAGTCTTTGGGTGCAGAAATGTCTCCTCATCTCCATCCTAAATGGTCTACCCTGAATCCTCATACTGTGACCACGGTTCTGGACCCACCCATCACCAGGAACATCCTCCCTGCATCTACTCTGTCTTGTCCTGTTGTACAGAGTTACAACAACAACCAATCAACAATCAAGGCCCAGAATTACTCATCCAATTCTTGCTGCCAGAATTAGTAATATATTTCAGGTGATGTTAAACATTAAAAGATGACTAAATATCAGCTGGCATGCCATGGATTAGTATCAATACCTGATGACTTTTTCAGCAGGTGTAAGCACACTCTATGCATGCTTAAATAAGCTGGATTGTCACTGGGGCAATCAGCCTGGCAGCTTGCAGTGTATGCACAACAAAGAAAGAATGCAGCAGCAGAAACCTCAGCAGAAGTTTAAAGGGGCATAAAACTGGGCATAAGAATGTCACTTTGAAAACAGTCATTTGGTTGCATTGTAGTTTGAAAGCCATTCTGTAGTCTGACCAATTCAGTTAACTTGAGACGACACTTTGCCTGATCTATCCTGTGGACTAGTAGCTGAGAAAAATGGCTTTGTAGTTCCTATCTTTGGGCACAGGAATGCTTAGATTTCTGAAGAAGCATCCTCTGTACAGACTCATTTCTGATACGGAACATGCAAAATGCCATCTTGGGGAAGACATTAGCACATGTGTAGATAACATTTGCAGGAAGTATACATACAGGCATGATTTCAGATCATGATATTGTTCAGTGTGCAATGCTGATTTGATGGAACAGTGCCACTATGAAGCTCGACACTTCACATAATGCCCCAATTAAGTCTGCACTATTAAAGATGGGTTAAGAAACAGGAAGAATTTCTGACAAGTGCTATTTATAGGGATAACGAGCAACCACAGATGAGTTGCTGGTTGATTCTGAATATTTCCACAATTTCTAACTTTTAGCATTGTGAAAAATTGACAGTTTTTTCGAAGATTTTCCTCTTATATGAGTTGGGACATTCACAAGAATACCAATATAAACATTTTATACTGTAAGAGTATCATTTGTTGGCAAGTGGACTCTGATTGGTAGCGGTGTTGCCCCAGAGAGTGACTCTACCAATCAGAGTTCACTTGTCCACTTATAGAATATAAGGAAATAAAAGGAGTATATAAGTAGGAAAGTTTTATAGCAGCCGTATATAGCCTTGGTGAGATCACATAAGGAATATTGCAAAGAGATTTGGCTTCCTTATTTGAAAAAAGGATATAATTACTTTAGAAGGAATAGAGAGAAAGTTTATCTGACACACTTGGATGAGCGGATTATCATATACAGAAAGGTTGGATAGGTTGGCCCTGTATCCTTAGAAATCTCATTGAAACATAAATGATCCTGAAGGGGTAGGTACTGGGAGAATATTTCCTTTTGTAGGGAAGTCTTGAACTAGGAGACACAGTTTGAGAATAAGTGGTCACTCTTTTAAAGAGGAAGGTTATTTTTTCGACAGAGGGGTGCTAGTCTGGAATTCTTTTACCCTGAAAACAGTGGAGGCTGTATCATTAAATTAATTTAAAACAGAGCTAGAATTTTGATTTAAAAAAAAATAGCCACAGGAGGGTCGTTCCCTCCTAAGAATGACTTCTTCATTTTGACCAACATGGGAAGCAGGCCACTTGATGCTTTAGCAGGCCTGCATTGCACTGGGGTTCCCTTTTCTGCTTGCATCCCCAGTCCCCTATGTTCAAGATGCTGGTCCTCAAAGGGATTTGGCTACCATAGGTAGTATCACACAGCAGAGGACTTAAGAATTGTTCGAGGTAAAGTATATGTTCCAGTAAAAAGCTTATGCATTCCTCTTAAATCAAGTATATTTGTTGTTGTAAGTTAAAGCAGTGAGCTGTCTTAAAATTTTAGAGCTATTGTTCCAGTAGGTGGTGCTATGAATGTAATATTGGACAGTAGACAACACCCCATTGTTTTCAATGTAACGTCACGTTACATATCAAACACTACTTGGGTACAATCAGCAATGAAATTGGTTGAGCGAGCAAGCAATAGCTGTATGATGTTATTTGTGGAGTTGTCTTGATTTTTTGGTATTCTTTATAATTAATGAATTTTAATTATAAGTAATTTTACTAAATTATGCAAATAATTTGTCTCCAGCTCTCCTGGGCAGCATTCTTCTGCCTTGACCGGTATCTTTCTCAAATACATCTCCATTATGAGCCAATGGAGGTTCAGAAGCGGAAACATCCGGTTTAAGTGGCCATCGCCATTCAACAATTATTATTCATTTTCCACACCTTCCTTTCACCAGATGACCTTTCATCTTGAGGCTCTTTGACCACAACCAATTCCACAAGCCTGCTGATCAGGGTCCGTAAACAGACTTTATCCATAGGCTTCCAAATCTAATGTATGAAACTCTGCTCCGGTCATATTTTTGGCTGATTTTATAAATTGTAATCTCTCTTTGTGAGTGTAGCACATTTGCTCCCCTCCGCGGCCCACTTTGCTTTCAGGCCTTCCTCCCCCACTGCCCCTTCAGTCAGCAACTTTACGGAAAATTCATTACCTCACTGTCCACCTTCTTGAGCTTAAAGCCAACCCCTACACCTAATTAAGATGCCTCTAAACTGAGGTATCAGTCTCGCTCAGTAATATTTAAGAAATGAAAACAGAAATTGCTGGAGAAACTCAGATCTTCAGAATATTAAAAAGGCCACTGGACTCAAAACATTGAGTGTTTTCTCTCCACCGCCCCCGTTGTCTTTTTCTTCATGCCCCTTTCCCTCCCATGGCCTCTCCGAAACTTTCCCACATACTCTGCACGTGGTTGTTTAACCCAGAGAACCTTAGGTCTGTTGAAACACTGAATGCCGAACGGAGTTAAAGTATTCCCTGCAATGCCCTAATATGGATGGCAATATTGACTACAGATGTTTCACCATCAAATCTCAAAACTTTTGTTAAAAAAAATTATAAATATGTGAATATCGCTAGGCTGGATTTCTGAATAAACGAATTAAAGCCTGTTTTTATTCGTGCGCGCGACGGGAAGCGTAGTTTTCAACGATGGTTAGAAACGAGGTATTAGCTGTGGTAGTATTGGAGGCCTACTTGTCCTCGCCTTTTTATGTGGCATCGAGATTAGAAGGACTACGATCAGCAACTCTTGGCCACTTTGGATGCTACGTACTCTTGACAAATGAAACTGACCTGAATATATTGGTCTATACATAGATGAAGCTTGCTGTGGTTAAAACTGTTAACATTATATTCTCGTTCAAACGGACACACTTAAAAGCACAAAAGATAGTACGATCACCGAAGTCCTAAAACACAGTTCGCCAAGTTACTAAAGATATCAAACACTGGATATAAACCCCAACTGCATGGTTGGGCTTGGAGTTCCCTAATATGATGAAATACCGAGTACTCAAAATTCAAAGTGAAAAGTATGAATCTGACAAAACGCTCTCCTTACAAGAATGTGAAGTGGTGGGCTAGTTCTGCGTTAGGTTAGACGGAAGTGTTGTGTAGATGGGCGGTACAAGCAGCGGTGCGGACACAGGACTAAGCGACAGCTCTGACAGAAGCAGCGAAGCAGGATGCTGGCTTTCAGACACATTGGGCTCTGTGCTTTCCTGCTGCTTTAACCATCGCAGTAAAGAAATTCGAACCGTCTCGCTTTCAGGACTGGCCGCAAGACGGAGACAAAAGAAGCAAGCACAGGTTCAGCTGTGTGGACAAGGTGTTGGCATCGTCTGCTTTTGGCAGCGCTGCGCTGGATCGCTGCGTTTGGAACGTACTTCGGGAGCGAGTCGAGCGGCGGCTGTAGACCGGGACCGTGTGAGCGAGCGGCCGCGGGCTGAGGTTCGGTCCCGGGCTCCAGTGGCAATGGGGCTCCCCACTCTGGAGTTCACCGATTGCTCCCTGGACAGCCCCGACTTCAGGGATCGTCTGAAAGCGCATGAGATCGAGCTGGAGCGGACCAACAAATTCATCAAGGAGCTGATTAAAGACGGGCTCATGCTGATTAACGCATTGAAAAGTAAGTGGATTGTTTAAAAAAAATATCGTTCGTTTGAGACTGTGGGAAAAGTTTGAATGAAAAGGAAGGAGCGCTCCTTGTGGCTGTGGCCAGTACAACCATTGGAATTGACTTGAATTTTTCGAAGCTTAAGTAAATGTTTTTTAGGAACAAAATAAGCAACTAGCCTAGTCAATTTATAATAGTCATATGACAAAATTTGTCACTTGTTTAATGGAATAATTGGAAGGCAACAGTTCAAAGTTGCGGTTGATGGTAGATAAGAGGGAGATTATTAATAAACTACTTCACATCTAGCGAGGTCAAGGCTGATGTTACATTCGCAAACACGGTATTTACAGAGAAGCCGATGACTTGTGGAGCACTAGTAGCAAGTAATGCTATTCCTACCTGCATAAAAAAAAAATCCCAGGACCCGAACATCAGTGGCAGGAAAGATTTTGCAACATTTGCTCGAATATGTAATAGGAAAGCATGCAGAAAATATTTTTTAAAATACTGCTTGTAAAGGGAAGGTGGTGCTTCATGAGTAATTTCATTTTTTTTGTATAAGTAATAGGCATGTTCCAGTTCTGAGGAAGGGTTACCGGACCCGAAACATTAATTCTGATAGATATTTCTCCACAGATGCTGCCAGATCTGCTGAGCTTTTCGCCAGCAAATGCTGTGTATGTTTCATATAAATGCTTGTGTACTTGTAAATAGTACAACATAATAGATTCATAATCAAGAGTAGAGCATGTGGAAATGGAGTAAACTGTGGATAACTAATTGGCTGAAAACAGAGTTACTTAAGCTGGGAGAAGTTTGGAGAGAATTAATCTTCAAAGAAGACTGGTACTTGGATCACTATTCATGATTTGCATAATTTGGTTCATGAATCAAAGTGTAACATCAAAATTTATGGTTAATACTAAAATGAGGAATTCTGCGAAGTACATAATGTCATAATATACTTGCAGAATCGGTGTGTATATGAGGCAAGAATTTTTATGTAGATACAATGTGAGGTGGTAGATCTAGAACAGTAAGAACACAAGACTATGGAGCAGAAGTTGGCTATTTGGCCCATTAGATCTGCTTTACCCTCCAGTGAGATCATGGTTGATTTGATAATCCTCAACTCCACTTTCCTGCATTTTCCCTATAATCCTTGATCCCCTTACTAATTAAAAATCTCTGAGCCTGAATATAATGAATGACCTAGATTTTACAGCATCTGGTAAAGAATTCCACAGATTCACTACCCTTTTGCGAGAAGAGTTTTCATCTTGTCTCTACCCTAACAGGGTGACCCCTTACTCTGACATTATACCCTCTGGTTCTAGTCTTCCCCCCCACAAGAGGAAACAACCTTTCCATATCTACCCTGTCAAGCCCTCTAAGAATCTTATGTTTCAGTAATGTTGCCTCTCATTCTTCTAAACTACAATCAGCACAAACCCAACCTTTTCAACCTGTCCTCAGAAGAACATCCCTCCATGCTTGGAATCAACCTTGTGAATCATCACTGGAAAATGATTGCTGTTCTAAGTGTTGTCTAATGTGCCTTACTTAGTTTCAGAAAGACTTGCACTTTTTCTACTGTATTTCATTTTAAATAAAAGCCAGCATTCCATATCTCTTTCCTATTACCCGCTGAACCTGTACGCTAGCATTTGTGATTTATGCACAAGGACCCCAGTCCCTTTGTACTGCAGCTTTCTAATCACATGGCACCAGGTTATAATCCAACAGGTTTATTTGAAAACACCAGCTTTTGGAGCTCTGCTCCATCCTCAGATGTAGTGTGGAAGGAAAGGTATACCAACACAGAACTTATAAGCAGAAAGGTAACAACCCTAAAAATGGCGGGCCGACTGCCTCCTGTTAATCCTTAATCAGTTAGAAAGGAGACACAGGTTTCTATTGATTAAAATGCGATTTAAATGCATTTAGGTAACAACCATAAAAATGCGAGCCATTTTTAGGGTTGTTACCTTTCTGCTTATAAATTCTGTGTTGATATACCTCCTTTTCCATGCTACACTTGAGGAAAGAGCAGAGCTCCAAACGCTAGTGTTTTCAAATAAACCTCTAGGACTATAACCTGGTGTTGTGTGATTTTTGACCTTGTCCACCCCAGTCCCTCCCCACCCTTATCTGCTTTCCGGAGGGACAACTCTCTCCGTGACTCCCTTGTCCGCTCCACACTCCCCTCCAGCTCCACCGCACCCGGCACTTTTCCCTGCAACCGCAGGAAGTGCTACACCTGCCCCCATACCTCCTCCCTCACCCCCATTCCCGGCCCCAAGAAGACTTTCCACATCAAGCAGATGTTCACCTGCACATCTGCCAATGTGGTATACTGCATCTGCTGTACCCGGTGTGGCTTCCTCTACATCGGAGAAACCAAGCGGAGACTCGGGGACCGCTTTGCAGAACACCTACGCTCGGTTCGCAATAAACAACTGCACCTCCCAGTCGCGAACCATTTCAACTCACCCTCCCATTCCTCAGACGACATGTCCATCCTGGGCCTCCTGCAGTGCCACAACGATGCCACCTGAAGGTTGCAGGAACAGCAACTCATATTCCGCTTGGGAACCCTGCAGCCCAATGGTATCAATGTGGATTTCACAAGTTTCAAAATCTCCCCTCCTCCTACCGCATCCCAAAACCAGTCCAGCTCGTTTCTGCCTCCCTAACCTGTTCTTCCTCCCACCTATCCCCTCCTCCCACCTCAAGCCGCACCTCCATCTCCTACCGACCAACCTCATCCCGCCCCCTTGACCTGTCCGTCCTCCCTGGACTGACCTATCCCCTTCCTAACTCCCTACCTACACTCACCTTTCCTGGCCCCATCCCCGCCTCTTCGACCTGTTTGTTTCCTCTCCACCTATCCTCTCCTCTATCCCTCTTCTATCCGCCTCCCACTCTCTCCCTATTTATTTCAAAACCCCCTTCCCCTCCCCCTTTTCTGATGAAGGGTCTAGGCCCGAAACGTCAGCCTTTCTGCTCCTATGATGCTGCTTGGCCTGCTGTGTTCATCCAGCCCTGCACCTTGTTGTCTCGGATTCTCCAGCATCTGCAGTTCCTACTATCTCTGATTCAAAAATCACCTCCACATCACTGCAGCTTTCTGTAATCTTTATCCACTTAGATAATATTCAGCTCTTCTGTTCTTCCTGTCAAATTGCATAACCTCACATTTCCCAAATGATATTCTAATCACTTAGCCTGTCTGCTTAGTGAGAGGATATTCACTTCCCTCATCGAAGTCATCATTGTGTTTTGGAAATAAATCTAGCCCCAGCACTAATGCTGCTGCACTGCACCAGTTACAGATTGTTACAGTCAACACAGTGTGGAGCTGGAGGAACACAACAAGTCAGACAACATCAGAGGAACAGTAAAGTTGATGTTTCGGGTCAGGACCCTTCATCAGAACTGCCATGCTGGATATGCCCCCTCCCTTATCCCAACTCTTCCATTAGTTAGCTAGTCATCTAAGCATGCTTATGTACTAACCCCAATACAATGGACTGTTATCTGTGTTGTTTGTGGTACCCCACTGAATTTGAAGTAGACATTTTCACATTACATTAGATCTGTCCTTTTGTCCATGATCAGATCAAATTTGTAATGAGGTCAGAAGCTGAATGGACCTGACACAAGCTAAACTTGTTGTCACCAAACAGTTTATTATTGAGGAAATGCTTCTTGATAAATTTTCAATGACCCTTTTCATCATTTTGCTGATGATTGAGAGTAGACTGATGGAGTGGTGAGGTTGCATTTGACTTGCTCTTTGTGGATATGACAAACCGTAACTTTTTTTTTACTTTGTGGTGTAGATGTCAGAGTTGTTGCTGTACTGGAAGATCTTAGTTAGTGGCATGACTAGCTCTGGAATATAGTCTTTGATGCAATTGTCAAAATGTTGTCAGGGCTAATGATCTTTGCAAGTATTGGTTTATTTCATCTGTTTTCTGGATATCACATAGAGTGAATCAGGTTGGCTGAAGACTGGCATCTGAGATAAAGGGACCTTGAGATGAGGTCTCTTCCAACTATCTTCAGACAGGAATGCCAAAAGATTCATTCTTTTACACTGATGTGCTGGGCTCCTTTATCATTGGGGATAGGATATTGATGGGGTTTCCTCATATTAATTCTTCTCTCTCCACAGATGCTACCAGACGTGTTGAGTTTCTCCAGCATTTTCTGTGTTTGTTTCAGATTTCCAGCATCCTCTTTTTTTTTGCTTTTATTCTCCTGTTAGTTATTTCAATGTCCACCATCATTCACAACTGGATGCAGCAAGATTGTACAACTTAGTTTTGACCATTCGGATGTGCGTTCACATAGTTCTCATTATCATGTTCCACTGTTTAGCATGCAAGTATTCTTGGTTTGTTGCTTTAGCAAATTAACACGTTATTCTTAACTATGCCTGGTGCTGTTATTGGCATTCCCTCCTGTGCTTTTCATTGAGCCACGTTTTATTCCCTGGCTTGGTAATTATGGTAATTGGTAGTCTTTTAAATTATGGTTATATACAATCTTGCTGTTGCTGAAGGCCACAGCAGCTCATGGGTGCCCAGTTTTGAGTTGCTAAATCTGTTCTAAATCGATCCCGTTCAGTATGGCGGTAGTATCACAGAGTATGATGGATTGTATCCTTTAATATGAAGAAAAGATTTTATCTTTGTGAACACTGTCCAGTGGTCACTCCTGGCAATACTGTAATTTTGGTTATTATTGATATATGAGCTTATACAAATCTTAGTTCATAGGCTACTCTGAGGAACGCCTGGTTGATGATTGTGACACCAATTCAGATATTGAATAATTATCAGTCAAAGTGATGGGCAAGTCTAATCAGTCAATCACTCCCTTAATACTAAGGAAGACCTGCTGCAACTATATAGAGCTGTGATGAAATAGTATTTTGAATGCAGCACAGCTTCACCAGAATGTTACCACAATTCTTAAGGTTTAATTTAAGAAGTACATAA